ACTGATGAACTCTGGAAATTAGATGGCACAGTTCCAGATATTTTTGCAGCTAGTATGTCCAAGAACAGATTTCAGCAAATAATTCAAGCTGTGAGATAGCTACGAGGCAAAAAAATTCGGCAGTGGATAATCTTACACCCATTCGGGAAATATATGAAACGTTTGTCACTAACTGTTTATCTGCATACACTCATGGATTCTATGTGACCATAGATGAAATGTTGGAAGCGTTTCGTGGTCGATGAAAATTTGGGCAGTATATAGCCAACAAGCCAACGAAATACGGAATCAAGATTTATGCATTGGTGAACGCAAGAACATTTTTCACACAAAATCTCGAGATTTACCACGGCAAACAACCTGAAGGACTATATCAACTACATAACGATGCATCTAGTGTAGTTAAAAGACTTATACGACCCATAAGTGGAACCGGTCGAAATGTCACTATGGGTAATTACTTTTCCTCTGTACCCTTACCCAACTTTGTATTAAACGAACTTTGCTTGACAACGATAGGTACTTTGCGTAAAAACAAACAACAAATTCCCCCTGAGTAGACAATCGTAAAAGGAAGACCTTTATGTAGTAGCATGTTTGCATATGGTGACGATGGAAATACGTGTGTACTTGTGCAATATGTGTCAAAGAAAATAAGAATGTACTACTACTTTCAACACTACACAGCGATGTTTTTATTAATGAAAATACCAAAGAGCATATCATAAAGTCAGAGAATATTACTGATTACAACTTCACAAAAGGCGGTAGATATTATTGATAAAATGAAGGCAGAATACTCGGTGACTGGATTTAGCAATCGCTGGTCTTTTACTTTTTTTGCAGCCTACTAAATATATTAACTATAAATAACCAAATAATTTAAGACAATAACACTAATATTGTAACATCTTGATGAAGCTACATTGTGGAGCTTGGCAAGCACCTTTTAATGTCCCATCTTTAACGACTTTGCAATATCCCAAATGTACCTTTTCAGTTGAGGCTCAGGATCCGAAATATAACTGCCATCAGTTTCTTAATGGGCAACTTTTGCCCTTTAGGGAAGAACAGGTTTACCCAACATTATTGTACTAAGTGTAAGTTGCCGATATGTAAAGAGCACACTGGTTTAACAAATTTTACGTGCCACCACTGTCTAGAAGAGGAAATGTTCTAATTTTTGTGTGGAATCCATACATTTTTTTTTTTTGGCATAAATCTCCTTATTTGTTTTTTTCTAGGGTAAAGTGTATATTTTTTTAGTTTACCTATTAGATTTTTTTTTTGCAGTTTGGTTTTAAAAAAATATGTTTATCGTTAATAGCCAAATATCGTTAAACTTAACCAAGAAGTACTAATGACTTATTTATTTGACCTATAAATCCATCTGATCAGCAAAGTGCTTGTCACGTGTGAGTCCTGGGTATAACTTATCCCACACAAAATCCTACCCCGAACAATATTGGCCAGCGTAAGGTGCTCTATAACGCTATCTTTAATGACTTATCATCGATCTGTATTGCTTGCTCGGACACTGAGTCCCCACTCTGGGCTACGCCCAGTTAGGTGACTAAGCGCTCGAGGATGTGGGCCCCTCTTTCCCCTTTTTTGAGTTTTATTAGTATTTTTTGCGGCTCAAGCCTTTTCTTAGTGTTTTATTAATTGTTTTGATGGCAAAAGACGTTTTTTGTGTTTTTTTTGTAAATTTTTTTTGAGGGTCAGCCCTGAGATACATATTTGCCCTTCGAAAACCGGTAATATTTTTTCGTTTGTATTTATAGTGGGAATCTACTTGACATATCAGCATATAGCATGTGACCTGCAATAGACTTAATTTTTATACCAAGTAGAAACTTGGTGCAATAAAAAAGTGGAGTTAAAAAATGTATATTAGTTTAAATTAGCAAACATTCAAACTTCAATGAAACCAAATAAAAACTTTGAGATTTAAAAGCTATTTCAGAAAATTAATGAGTTTGTGACATATTTGAGTAGTAAAGTTTTTCGCCACCCATTTTGGAGCCATTATCAAGAGGAATATGGTTCCTTTTAAGGTCGGGGTTTCAACATACCTACTCCCTCACTCGTGACATACCAGCCTCTTGTTCTCCAGAAATTTGAGTACCGTTAAACAAAACTTAGGTCTTATTTTGTTTACTCCTCAGTTTTAACTGTCACTCTAGGGTATTTTTTTAATAACACAAGTTACTAACAAAAATAACCAAACATTTTTGAACAAACTTTTTTTTCAGCCTTGCCACCAAAAAGCACCAATCGACAGAGATCAAATTTAATAGGAGCACCGTACCAATATATTATACCAAGATAAATTTCTTGGTAATGAAAAGAACAAAATAACATAACAATAAAACACTGAAAACTTTGGTTTTGAAATTTTCATAAAAATTATTATAAATTCTTAGGACTTCAGCTGTTTCGGCAGCGTGTCTTTATCAAGTGATCTATTTTTGGTATGGGTTTAAACGTTATAGTCTTTAACTAAATAAGTTGAGGAGAAAAGAACTGTTTGTCTCAAGTAAGTCGTTCAGAACTATGTTTGTGTTTTTTAATTTGTTAATTTTCATACATTCCAATAAAGATAGCTTAAGTTATTTATTTTGAATGTAAAAAATTTAAAATTCGTCATTAAAAGAATGATTGGTGTAGAACCTGCTCCACCCTGGTCACTTTGTCATTAAACCTCAAGAAAACTCGATAATTCTTCAAATCGGTTCCTAGCTAATGCGGCTGTAAAAAATGACCGGCGTATTGAGGTGTCTGTAGACCATATCTCTCGTGTCGATTCTTTCCCACACCTGAAAGCACCAGCTTTGATAAGTGCTCCTAAAAAGCTATCCAGTTCATTGTTGGTAAGTACCGTCCACTCTTTTTTGTTATTCGGATGTTTTTCGTTCCACTCTTGATAACGCCTAACAGCTTCTTCATTAGTATGAAGGCATATGACATTCTTCATCTCTTCGGTCAAAAATAAATTGAAATAGTCTAAAAACGTGTTGGAATTTTTACTATAGTTTGTTAAGCCTGGATGTACATTTATAATATTTTTTTTGTTGCCTCTTGGATCTCACGAAAGGTAGGCTATTCCACTGCATTCCAGATTTGGATGTATATGTTGGACCACTAACCTCACTAATATTATCGTCCACTTCGGTAGGTTCTGCATCTGATTCCTCGTCACTGTTGACTTCTAAATTGTTCTCAGTTTCCGAAACATTTTCCTCAAAAACATCTTGCTCTTCGCTATCTGATTCGTCGGTAATCTCATAGTCGAAATCGGAGTCTGATATCCCTTCTTCTATATTTCGGATAATTTTTTCATGTTCTTTGGTCGCTTATTGTCATTTTCATTCTCTTACGGTCCATTTTTTCAATGTAAACTGACGAAAAATGTTAAAAATAATAAAAATATTCTGGTGCCTCTAAATGCCCAATCGGGTCACAGCGAGACCCCACTTATCTAAATCTCTCTTACAGACCACTGCACCTCACGAATGTTCGTGGTATACTAACAGAAAACGTAGGAGACACGTCCACACAAATACCTGAATGCGCGGTTGCCAAATGTTTCAAATAAAGATATTATAGCCAAAAATGTATGTCTGGGGTCCCATAGTGACCCCGATTGGGCATTTAAGGGTTAAAAGTTGTATATTAGTTTATATCTAATTAGTCTATATAATTAGTCAAAACTCATTTCTCGGTGGATTTCAAGGTCAATGAATACGAATATTATGGTACAGATTGTCTTCGAGCTACCTATAGCTCAGTGTTGACCTCGTGTTGTAGAGTTTTATGTTATTTAATTCCAAATTAGTTACAAGTTACTTGGGTGTTTTTGGGGTTTTCGATATCGAATATTATGATGATGATGATCTCCAAGGTATCTGATGTCTAGCGTAGACCTTGTCTCCTCGAAGTTTTTTGTTAATTTGTTATTTACGATTTGTATTAACATAAAACTTTAGAAGACGAGGTTACCATATGCACCAGATTCTTTGGACACCATCGCTGTTGTAATATTCGTGTTCAGCAACCCCAAAAAGCCCAATTAATAACTTTGGACTAATTTCTAATGAAAATAAGATAAAACTCCAGGAGATGTAGTCCAACCTTTACCAGGTAGCTTGAAACCATCGTCGTCATAATTTTTATATTCAGCGACGTCAAGTAATGATTTTTGACTAATTTCGAATGAAAATAACATAAAACTCCAGAAGATGAGGTCCACTTTGTACACCAAGTAGCTCGAGAATCATTATCGGTATCATATTTATGTTTAGTGACTTCAAGATCCCCAAGTAATGACTAGAGACTGATTTTGAATAAAATTAACATACTCCAGAAGACGAGGTCCATACTGGGCATCAGGTATCTCGAGAACCATCGTTGTTATAATATTCGTATTTAGCGACATCATTCCTGTATATATAATCCGACTCTGTACATTATTGTTAAGAGTTTTTTTTATTTGTTGTCTATTTGAACAAAATTTTTAACTACAAAAAATTATGCATCTATTAATTTTCAAAAAAAACATGTTGGTTTCAACTACATCCATACGCGAATGACTTATGCCCTTAAAGACTACCATTACCTGCTGTTCGAAAATTTATATTTGTAATACGCTGCCAATTCTAACAATTTAAATAACAATGTCTCAAACATTGATATTAATATATCCAAAAGTAACCAATATTTACACAGTAAATCTTTAATAGATAGTTATGTATCATTGTTTTATATCACGGTTGTGTTTGTTATTATTTGTATGTCACTTTGGAATATTAACTGCAGCATTTAGTTATTCATAATAAACTTTCCAATTATCTACTTCAATCAAAATTACCTTCAGCTTGCAAACAATACACATTCATATCGAGGGAACAAGGCTTGTCGATTACGGAGAAACTGACACGGAGCTGTTTATGAGTTACAACTTAACTTGAAGTGACAGCTTAATGAGATAAACCGACCCTTCACGTCAAACATGCAGATTGTTGTTCTAAACATCGACCGATACCTCCATGGGCAACCTACAATGTAAAACGTAACAATACTGTTAGCAGTAAGGAGCATTGCGTAACAAAGATAGAATGGTACAACACAAAAGGGATAAGAGAAAGATAAACAGTGGCATTGACCCGTGAAATGAACAGCGGTGGAAGTGACATCTATTCTAGTTTCAAGTTATATTAGTCTTTGTAAAAATTTTGTATACTTCATTAATTAAACATGAGAGCTAGACCAAGATATAAAGGCGTAAAATCTCGGTGAAAAATTATGCAAAATACTGCGAGTGCTCTACCATAATCCAAAAAGGTATTGAATTTAATCTGAAACGAACGTGTTTTAAAAATAGTTACTATCTTTTTAAAAACATATGAAAATCTTTATATTGTGAGTTTTTAGGTGTTTAATTATTTTGCGAAAGATGAAGGTAGTTGTTTTAGTAGTATTTGCACAATTCTAGTATCCACTATGCATCCAAGTATTATGCAGTTTAATAAAATAAGATTTTTTTTTTTTTATTGAGTTAATGCCTCGACAACTATGATCATTGGCATGGTACAGTCAGGTACCTAGTGTAGTGTGTGTGTATGTGTAGAGTAATTGTCTTGATACTTAGCAAAGTCGACGTCATTGTCTTTGCTAAGAGACGCTAATTGTATCCGAACGTCTGCGGTCCCTCCGGTGAGTACCGATCGCACATGGATAGAAAATAAGATTTTTTGAAATATACTTATCAATAATTGAAAATATTGAAAAATAAAAGTTTATTGACTTATAAACAATTAAAATTATACTCAAAAAAGTATTTTATTCAAAAGCTCAATATAAAATCGATTTTTAAAAAAACTTTGTATGATCAGTAGCATCGAATGATTCCATGAAGAAATAGAGATGGAAGCTGAGTAAAAAAGGAATTTAGAAATGTTCTGAATATCACCTCGAGAAAAAATGTTAGCTAAATGAAGGTGATAATACTCTTGACTGGAAAAATGTCACACAGAGAGAACGTGAAATTATACTGGTCACTCCAAACAATTAAAGCAAACATCAATTCCAGGGTTTGATTTAATTACTGAAGAACTCCTAAAAAACTCTCCAAAAAACTCCCTAAAAAAGGTCATAGTGAAGCTGAAATATCTTATAAATCAAAGAATGTAAAAAGGAAAGTATGAAGTGTGTTAACATTTAATTACAGTATACTGCGAATTAATGGAATCACTGTAATATTTTTTTTAAATTTTTTCAATATTCACAGTTGGCAACACTACCTACACAGTTGACAGCTGACCAAGCATTGAAAACATAACCTTACTGCGTGTTAGTGTGTTTGAGTGTGTTTTAGGTCATTTCTTACCAAGCTTGTTTTGGGGGTTTTTGTACTATTTTGTGTTGTTTTTGGTTTTATTCCAACATGGATATTACGCCTAGGAAGCGTAAAAAGATTGTCACGTTGAGTCAACATACTAGTCTGTCACAAAGAGAGATTGCTAGAACGTGTGGAGTGAGTCAGGGGGTAGTAAGCAAAATTTTGAAGCGTAAACGAGAAACGGGATCAGTGGATTTGAAAAGGTTAGGAAAATGTGGAAGAAAGAGAAAAACAACACCAGCATATGATAGATTTTTACTTCGAAAGAGCAAATTGGACCCAAGAAAATCAAGCCAAGACCTACAACAAGATCTAGCAGCATCAGCTATAGTGATTCATGACTCAACTGTTCGTAGAAGACTTTTGGAGAATGGTGGAAGGGCAATTCGTCCACAGAAAAAACAGCTTCTAACTGAACGAATGAAGAAACAAAGTCTACTGTGGGCCAAAAAAATACTCTAATTGGACTGTAGGCGACTGGAAAAAAGTCCTATTTACAGATGAAACCCACTTTATAGTTCAGGGACAGCGGTCGAAATCTTGACATGCAGTCAAGAAAATGTTTTGGCGATGTTTTTTATATATGGGGGTTAGATCTTTGGTGCCAATTGAAGGCATGATGAATAGCCAAAAATACAAATCCATGTTGGAAAAGTATTGGAACAAAACAACTGTCAAAAATCAAAGGAAATGATGGCATTTTTCAAAAATAAGAAGATTAATGTCTTAGATTGGCCCGGTAATTCGCCTGACCTCAACCCCATTGAAAATTTATGGGCCATTTGCAAAGCTAGACTGCAAAAAATCGACTGTACCACTAAAGCAAAAATGATAGAAGCGGCCATTCAGGTTTGGTATCGAGATGAAAGGATATCTGACAACTGCCAGAAACTCATAGAATCTATGTCAAAACGAGTAAAAGCAGTAATTGCTGCCAAAGGGGACATATTTCCTACTGAATAATGTAAGTTTACATTTATAGTTTTGTCAAAATATAATTTTTTACTAAATAAACCGTTTTTTCATTAAAACAGCCTATAATTCAGCTCATTAATTCGCACAATACTGTACTAGCTTATAAAGCCATTGTCGGAGCTATGATACAATAGAACAATGATGCATATAACTAACTTAAAATTAACAATATTTCACTTACGTCAAGTACCTAAAGTATCAGTACTACGAGATATCTCATTTAGTCAAAAATTACAGAAAATTTGCTTTTTAAGCTGACTCTATTACAATTTTTTTTTCGAAAAAACACATAAAAGAAAATAAATGTGATAGTACCAGACGCTAGGCTACACTGTAGGGCCCATATTAAAAAAAAAAGAAAACACCAAGTATAAAAAAATGTATTGGCTATTGGGAAGACAATCCACCCTCCCTGTCAATCTACAACAAAATACTATTATATAAAAAGAGATTCACATTGTTTCTCACATTCATTATTGTTATTATGAGCAGATTCAGTATTGTTTATTATTTGCTTAATGTTAATATGAACAAATTTGGGACTGTTAGGACGATAAATTTTTCATGGAAAACTAGCAGAAGGTAACAAACTTACCCTCGCTAAAACCACCCTGGGTAAAACCATTTGTTGGTAATTTACAAATTACTTTATTTTTATAAAAGCATTATATTCTGGAACTCTAATTGGACACTTTGCTGGACACTATTTTCGAAATTTCCCAAAAAAATTCGCTTGTTTTCAAACTAGCTCGACAATGAAAAGAAAAAATGCTGGAATACGAAAAGACAATTTTTTTTTAGTAAAGACTTTGATTTTTTTTTTATTTCCATAGACTTAAAATTAAACGAGATAAGATTGTTTAAAGTCTGTATTCACATGCGATTAACACCTTCTTCAAGCCCCTTCTGGGTTTCAAAGGGGCTTAAAAAAAATTAAATATACATTACTGTATAGCTTTTAAAATAAACTACAAAAGGTGTATATTAAAATTGTTTTAATGTCCCTATTTTTAAAAGTAATTGTGTTGAAACGGCTTTAAGATGGTGCTCAAAGCAAGTGAATACAATCTTTCAACAATTATATCTTGTTTAGCTTTTAGTCTTTAAAAATAACAAGAAATTAAAATCTTTAGTAAGCGAACCTGTTGTTTTTTCAAAATTTTAGCAGTTTGTCTTTATCTTTCTTAGTTTCTTTGTAAGTTTTGTAAAAAAGGGTTTTTTTTTCAATTTTTAGAATGTCATGTTGTTGTACAAATGCAGAAAATTGTAAAACTTTCCATGAAAAAATTACCGTTTTCTGTTTAGTCAACATCGTATGTTTGGATTTTTATATTCGATGGATAAAAGTCTACTTTTAGACAGCCATAACGTTGTTAATATTAAGTTTACGGTAATAATATAAAACGAATCCCTTTTTTAGCTTTATTTTTATTCAAACAGTTTCCCGATAAAATCTAAATTTTTGTAGTTATTTTCGAAAAATCGTTTATTCAATTAAGAAACCGAGATAACTCGTCTTGCTGTTGTTGTGTCTAAAATAACCAACTCTCGAGATATCTCGTTTTGCGCTATTTAGTGGAAATTTAAATGATTTGTTTTGTGTTGTCCAGTTAGGCTTTAGAAATTTAAACGCATTTAGACGGGGTAGGTAATACAGGTTCTGGCTGCGTAATATTAAACAATGGACAAGTAGAACGGTCAAGGATTGGTTTCATAAAGCTGCCGACCGTTTCATCAGCTTGCATACAACGATAGCCAACGCTTAAAAACAAGCACGGTACACAAAGAAGAAATTGGTACAAGGTTGTATGGCGTCAATAAAACGGTGGTAGGAAAAAAGGAGCTTGTAAACGGCATCAGTGTGTAAACAACACGTGCTGCGTCCGGTTGTGTATACGTAAAGACATTTTATGAAATTGAATCGTTATTCTAGCTAGGGTAGTGACTATTCAGATGATATTTGAGCTAGATGTATCCGGGCATTAGAAAGTGACGGCAAAAGTGAAATGTTATTAAGTGACTCAGACTCAAATTCCAGTGAACATGATGACAGTGCAACCAGTTCACTTCAAACAGTCCGGCAATGGGTTAAAGTTGATCTACGCCGGCCAAGCCCGGCTGCACCGAAGTTTTTTTAATGGAAAATAGGAGTGTCATTTCGATATATAAGACGTTAAAAATAAGTTTTTCAATATGTTCTTCGATGATAAACTAGTGGACAAAATTGTTCAAGAAAAAATTGTTTTTCTAATCAGAAAAGGCAATCAGGCTTTCGAAAAGTTGTAAAAGAGAACAAATGGACACCAACAGATAGGGATAAAATGCGAGTATTTTTGCAATACCATTACTGCAGAAAGTAACGAAACCAGTGCACTGACTTTATTGGCCTTAAAAACCAATAATTGAAATACCTTTTTCCGTAGGGTTATGAAATATAAAATACTTCTTAAAATAAAGTAATATCTACATTTTTCTAAAAAATAATCTTTTAACAAAGATACTCACAAGTCCGAAACTGTATAAAATCTGGGAAGTTTATGTATACCTAAATGCTACAAATATATGTATGATCTGGAAAGAGATGTAACAATTAAAAGAGCTTACTTCTCTACAAAGGCAGCCTCAGATAAATTTAATACATTTCAAACAAAAGTGCACGATTTGATGTAAAGAACTACATGA